TGATCAATAAATATGAGACACCCTCTCAAAAAAAAAAAAAAAACAATGGATGGACCTTACAATGATAAGTGAAATAAGTCAGACAGAGAAAGTCAAACACCGTATTATATCACTTAATGTGGAATCCACAAAGACTCAGAGAACAAACTGGTGATTGCCATAAGGGATGGGGTTGGTGGGACAGGTGAAACAGGTGAAGGGGACAAAGAGGCACAAACTTCCAATCACAAAATAAATAAGTCAAAGTGATTAAAAGAACAGCATAGGGAATATATTTAAATCTTTCAATGGTGACAGATGATAACTACACTTAATGTGGTAATGTACATAAACTGTCGAATCACTGTACCATACACCCAAACCAGTATAATATTATATATCAACCATACTTCAATAAAAACAAGAAGAAATGTGATTGAAAGTGATTATGTTTGCTAAGGTTGTCTGTCAACTTTCCAAAAGCATGTTAATATATTTTAATCTTTTTAAATTAATTTGATAATAAATGTAAACATTTCTTTAACAATAATAAGAAAAAAATACTAGCTTAGGTACATAAATTATGAACTTTATATTCACTCATAGGTTGGAAAAGAAATCCAGGGTTATTCTTCCCCATATCTCATAATTTAGAATTTACAAAGGCAAAGAAAGTTAACAATCTTTCCAAGCATATAAGAAAAAAATACTAGTTCTATTTAAATATGCATCCAGGTAATTAAATGGCTTTCATCAGGTCCCTAAAGTGACAATCTCTAAAAGTGTGTAAGTTCAAATGTTTATTTCTTGAATGATTTCACCATAGCCCTGAAAAAAGGATAAAGTTGACTCGGGGAAGAAAAACTGCTCAGTGCCCACAAAGTACTTCTCTAGCAGCTGGCACCCACCCTTCTGGTGTCAGGTCGGAGAATAGGAGCAAGGAAATGAAGATTCCTGTACATCGTCTACTGTGACTTAGCTGCAAAGCTTTCCTAAAGTTGTCACACGAACATGATTTCAAAAATGCTGAATCATTCCTCTCTAAGGGGCTCTTTCTAAAATTTACATTTTAAATTTCAAACGTGTTTTAAGTAAAATGAAACAGAACCCTAAACGTAAATCTAGGGTTTTTTAAACATATGTATATTTTTAGTTTTCAAATTATTTTAGAACCAAATGCTCCTTCTTCAATGCTCCTGTGGTCTGGGTGACAGACACAGTGCTAACTTACACACACCCCAACATGCAGTCAGCCAGGCCCTGACCACACCTAGACGTGGGCGCCCCCCCAGGTCACTGAAAAAGCAAGCACTATACGTGAAATCATAAAACTATGGTCAAGTATTCTAAGACACGCTGCTGTGCCCAGCTCCCCGAAGATAATGAAAAGGAGATGATGATGATGACGTCAGAAGCCATTCTTTTATCCTATCCTCAGCACTCTTCTTCCAAGTGTACTCTTTTGGGAACAGAATTATAGCAGTCATGTAGGCACAGGGTGGAGCCCTAAATGATATCAGGCCAGGCCAAAAAGCAATTCACTTAGGGAAGAAATAACTAGAAAAAAAATTACTGAATTCACCATCTTGGTTTTGCACATCTCCAGACACACTGCTTATATGCATTATTATCACAGCAGTACACAGCCTGGGAAGCAGCATGGCTGGGGCTGACTCCTGAAAACAGAATGGCCTGCGAAGACTGAGCTGCGCTGCTCCACTGTAAATGACTAATGCCCAATTTGAACTTAGTACAGTATTTTGACATTCCCCTAAATGGGTCCAATTATTCTTAAATCAATCACACTTGCTGAAAGAGCCTAGAAACAAGCCAAAGATTTCATACTTGGCTTTATAGATAAAATGCAACAACATGATCTACTATATATGCCTGAAAATGAACAAAATTTCCTTTTGAAAAACCAGAGCATTCACAAACCTTGTCTTTTAAAGCTGGCTTCTATGTATCACCACTGGTTTATCTTAGCTTGGACAATCACTCTGGATTTACTTTTCAAACAGGAGATATCACTGAGACTGGTTTAGCTCATTTCAATCAGACTCCCAACTGAAATATGTAGCATGTTTAAATGATAAAAATAACATGTCTCACCATCAAATACTCGATTATAATGATGATTTTATTACCCTAAAATACATTTTTATAATTGGATAAGCCACTTCATTAAGAACCTGAAACTGAATTATATTTATGCCAAATGCAACTGAAAAAACATAAGTAAACAAATATCATTGGGTTAAAAATAATTCTGATGTTTATTAATCTCCTGCTATATAGAACAGAATATGCCTCAACTTTTTATAGGAAAGATTTGTAATTAGTATTTGCATTATTCTATATTAAGATACCACAGGTACACTATTCTTACAAAACATATTTTCTCATTTTTCCCATGATTGTTGATGAAAGTAATACAAGTAGTTTAATACTAGTCGCTTCCTGTACATCCTAATTTTATTAGTCTTTCTCTGACACTAACCAATATTGACAAGTAAATGCTTGCTAATGGTGTTTCTTCTTCCAGTATAAATTCATTCCTTCATAAAATACTTATCATATGTTCACTATGTGCTAGGCTTTGTGTTAAAGACTCTGGATGCAAAGTAAATTAAGACAGATTCCTTGCCAAAGAGCTCATGGTCGAGAAAAGGCAAAAGACAATTGCATTACTGTTTACTATGCAAGGTAAGAGCAAATGACACACAGAAAGACTCCTAGAAGCATTGTTCAAACCAAACAGGAAGGTCAGTTTATATACTCCATTTTATTAAACTATGTCTACCTCCTTTATCAAAGAGGTGATGGCTTAACACTACCTGGTTGGCACTTCCTTGTCTTGGCAAAGAGGTGTTGACAGGCAGAGACAACATCAAACATCTCTAAGAATTACAATCCCCATCCTGCTTCCTGACTACACAAGGCATCACTGAATTTAGATTTATCCGCCTAAGACCTCATCTAAGTTGGAAAACACCAGTGAATTCAGCTGTTGTTAAGACCAGACACCTACATGACCAGAAAAATGTGAACTAGAAATTTACAAAAATCAGACTTCTAGCTGGGGTTCTAGCTGAGGTTTTTACCATAGGTTTATTTTTTGGCATTTAGGCATCAGAATAAAAATAAGATGTACCTGAAAGTATAAATGCTTATTACCATATTAGGTACTAAATTAGAAGGCAAGTTGAATTAGATGTCATGTTTTTTAACTGTAAGAACACAAAAGATATCCCAAAGAAACTGAGTATGGTATAAGTAAACCCTTTCGATAATATTATGTGCCCAATTAGAATTCACACTTAAAATGCAGTATACACCTAGGAGCAGTGTGTACATTTAAATGTATAACCAGTTACTGGTACCCACAGTACCTCAGGAATCAGGTAAAACACACGAGTTCCTTCAACAGTATGTATATTCTTACAATGTTTGATAGGAAATCAAAGCATAGTCATTATTTTCTTCCAGAACATTATCTAGTCTTTAAAAGAAGCCTAATACCGAAAGACTGAACAGGACAAGTGTTCTATCTACATGGACCACTTGCGATATTCCGGTTTTATAAATACCATCATTTCAAACAGTAGAGCCTAATTGGAAATGCCCAGCTGGCTACCCCTGTATTTGTTGTATGGGGGACCAGCCATCAGACCATTTGTAGGGGAGGTAAATTTTCCCCTGCTCAGGGTGACCTTACATGACTTAGCATCGTCCCGCCTCGGCTAGAGGTGAAATCAAGGCAGCCGGGGCAGCCGGCAGTGTTTTTCTCCTGCGGCCCCGACAAGAACAGCTAACACCAGGGAGGACGCAGCGGGCCCAGACTGCCCTAGGGGACTGGTGGGGCGCTCTGGTGACAGCTCGCCCTCTCCCCGAGGACCGGCTCCGCTCCGCAGAAGGCTGGGGTCCCGCAGCCTCTACAGCCCGAGACTGTGGGTCCCCGGCGCAAACCTGCTCACCGCCTCGGTGCAGCAGGGGATTGTCCCTGAAGCCTGGGTTGGAAATAACAGCAGTTTGGGGAAGTTTGCTGTATGCATTCCAACCCACTGATGCCTTGGGGCGCTGAGACGTGAAGACTCTCAAGAATCTCCCTCCCCCACCGCCTCCCAGATTCCGGCTCAGACATTCATTTCCTGGGCAATTTCTCTCATGGGAGGAAAACAATGGACTCTTTCAATCTTCTATCAACAAAGGGCTCTAAAACGCGGCCGCAGCCCCTTCGGGCGCGCCCTCTCCCCTCCCGACCGGCCCGCGGGGCGGGGGCGCGGCGGCAGGTGCTCACCTCCCGCAGCTGCTCCAGCTCCTGCTTGAGGCCGTCGTACTCGGCCTCCAGCTCGTCATAGTGCTGCTTGAGCGTCAGCTTCTCCTCCAGCACCACCAGCCCGTACTCGGCGGCCTGGATCTTCTCGTGGGTCGTCTCCGCGAGCTCCTTGCTCAGCCGCTCTATCTCCGCCTTGTAGTGGTCCGCGGCCTGCGGGGCCTCCTCTGCGGCCATCGCCCCGGCGGGCGGAGGCGGGCGGCTGCGGGGCACGGGAGGAGTGCGGCCGGGGGTCGGCGCCGCGGTTCCCCCGCGGCTCCGCCCGGGACACGCGCGAGGAACGGCCGCCGGAGCGGGCGGCGCGCAGGGTCGGGCCCGCGGGGAGCGGCGGGCGTGCGGCACGGCCCGGGCTGCGGCCGCGGCGCGGGATTCTGCGGGTTCAGGGCGCCGGCCGCCGCCGCCGCCCCGGGCCGCGCCACTGCAGTCCCGCCCGGCGCCGCACCTGCTCCCTCCGGCGGGCTGCGGCCGCCGATCCGAGGGGGCGGGGAGCGGAAGGAGGCGGCGCGGGGCGCGGCCGGGCTCCCGCCGGGCCTCCCGAGGCGCCCCCCGCCGGCGGCCGGGACGCGCGGGGAGGGAGCGGCGTTTCACTCGGGGCTGCGCCCGGCGCGCGTCCCGGCCCCGAGGGCGCTGGCGCCTGGCCCCGCGGAGACGCGCGCCCTCCCCGAAGGAAGGCGGACGGCTGGGGCCCCGGGGCCGGCGCTCTCGCCGCCTCCGCCCCCTGCCCGGGCGCCACCCCCCGCCCGCCTCCCTCCCTCCGCTGCTGCCCCCGCCCCGGCCCGGCGCCCCTCGCGCTCGCACCATATACCGTTCCCCCCGACGGCCTTCGCTCAGGATTGCCCCCCTCGCCCGGGCCCTCGGTGCCCGGCTCACCACGGATCACCTCCACTCGGGAAGATGCCTACAAGTGCCTGCAGCTGAAGCCTCTAAGTACCATTACTTCTGGCCTCAGTGGTTCTGCTCCATGGATTCTTCAATAAAGGAAAACTGCATGAAATTCCATATATTGGGTATCAACAGTACCTTCCCGTTAGCACTTGTAAAATAGTAAAGAGCGAATAATTCTTGAGACCACGTACCAACCATTCTTGTCAGTGTGCTGCGGCCATTCTCTCCAGTCCTAGTAAGTCTGTGAGGTAGGAACCGTTATCTCCGATTTCCAGGCACAGGGAGGTTGGAGTGATTTGCCCAAAGTTGAGCGATGCTTCAGCGGTGAAGCCCAAATTGAATCAAATTCCAGAGCCCTACAGCGGATCCTGTTGGCTTCACCTTCATTCATTACTAATACAAAGCCAGCAAGTAATATTACATGCTCATAAAATGACCGCTTTAATCAATATGGAGAGTTATGGTGAAGAGTCACAAAAGGAGGTAAAGGCAAAGTCAGAGTGAAAGAGAATAAAAATGGAGAAGAGATGAGGGTAGATAACAACCAAGAGGGAAGGAAGCACTAAGCACAGAACAGGTCGATTTCAGCGCAACTAGGAGAGGCTGCGGGACCAACAGACCCAGGGCCTGGCCGTTCCTCCCTCTCGTCTATTGGATGCCACTAGCGACAGACAGAACATTCCTGGTGGCCAGGAGGTGTTCAACACATACACACGTGTGGGCTTTCTGAGTTAAAAAAGGACAGAGCTCTCCCCCTTCACTGCGTACATGGTAAAGAAAAACAAAAGACAATCGCTGACAGTGTGGGAGGGGAGCACGTGGCAACGCCCTTCAAAGCCTTGATTTACAGGCTCTCTGGATGTGATTTCCACTGCCTCCAAAAACGACACGAAAGATTCCTTCCTGTCAATTACAACAGGAATCACAATTACAAATTCTCTTGTAATTATATTATCTATAAATGAATAAATAAAAGGCGAAACGCTTGAAAACGCAGCCACCATGAATTCCGACCTTGGAGATTAGCGAGGATGATAATGACCACATCCTTCCGCCTATGTGCCCTGAAGTCACACGCCAGTGGGGAACCCCTCGTGTGCTCCTGCAGCCCCCAGCTTCTATCACCAGGAGTGATTAGGGGCTGCTGAGAAGAGGCGACGCCTGTAACTGCAGTTGGCTCAACTGCCTTCTTCCCAGGATGCCCCTGGCTGTTGTTCCTCACGGCAGACTGTGATCCAAAAGGATCATAACGCTTGGAGTAGACGGCCTGTGTCTCCCCTTCCTTTGCACAGACGTTAAGACGGGAGTTCACCTCTGTGACTTTCCATTTTCTAAGTTTTCATTGCCACCCATTCCTTATGCTCTATGCTGCCCCACTTTTCTGATTGATAAACTTGTGTTAATATATTCCATCTGGCTTCATTCAGACCTGTATACTATTCTAAAATGCTAAGATTTTGCTTATTACAACTTTGATCCTTTATATGGTTGGTATTTAGCTTGAAAAAAGTAAACTTATTTCCTTATGCACATGCTCTTCCAGTACTCCAGTTACAATTCTGTCTTCTTGTATGTACTATACATATCATATACACATAGATATATGGGTAGATATAATCAATGACAAATACCTAGGAAACAATTTCTCAAACCATACCTGGAAGTAAGAGTCCCTCATATTTCTTTATCCTAGCAGCCTTCAATTCCTTATGAAATGCTCTTACTTAGAGATACTTAGGGAAAAACGCATTTTGTGACTTAGTGCCTCAAACTAGCCTCTCACCAACTCTGTTGGCATGAATATAGCTTTCTCTTGCTCTCACGCATAAGCAGATGTTTATTAGGCACCGTTATGTCCTAGGTACAGTAGTGGGCACTGTGAAATCAATGACCAGTAAGATGTCAGTGGTCAGTGGTCCCTGACTTCATGGAGCTTGTTTCTAGGAGGAACGAACAAAAACACCTCAACAAAACAGACAGAAAATAAACAACAGCAAAGATGAATTAATACAATAATTTCAAAGTGTGACACTGACAGGCAGGAGACAGCACCGGTAGATCAGAACAGACGCTAGTCTGCCTGAGTCAACTCCAACTTTGCCACTTACTAGCTGTGGGATAATAATACAACCGCTAATGAGATTGTTGTGAATAGCATAATAGTTGACACCTAATAAGCAGCCTATATATGCCTGTTTTTAAGTTTTTGAAGAAAAAGGAGGATAAGATTTAAGTAGAAAAAAATAACAAGATGATCAGTGCAGATCTCTCTGAAGAAGTGATGTTTATTTTAGTATCTACAGAACATGAAGGAATTGGATAAGCAAAACGTGGACAAAGAGCTTTCCAGAAAGAGGGAGCAGCAGGTGTAAAAGCCTAAGGCACTAAAGAGCTTGGGGAGTGCAGAGAACTAAAATCAAGGGCTGATGCTTTTAAGCAAAGTCTCTACTGGATAGAGACTCAGGGATTATGCCTGCCTTGCATGTTAGAATACTGAATTTGAATGTTGTATAGCTGAAACTAATGTAATGTTATGTGTCAACTTTTTTAAAAGGGCGAAAAAAAGAATATGGTCCTTCAAAGTGTAAACATTCACAGAGCAAAACACTTTCCAAGTCAAATGAGTTTCACTTCACACCACCCCAGAGCAAGAAGAGACAAGGTACTTCTGTTTAGCTTCTCAACATGCATTAGAAAAATCTCTAAATAGTCCTGTTAACTACATCAGCCTTCAAGTCAGGATATATCGCTGGACGATGGTGAATTGTGCTATTAAGGCTGCGGAAAGGACTGCCCTTCTTTCTAATCCCCCTCAATGATGTCTGAAATTCCTTTGGTAATAAAGAAGGGTGTTTATCACCTCATAATTAGAAATAAGTTGAAAATACAAAAAGTCATGAAACTTAAATGTACAGTTATGTTTGCTTTTTCCTTTTTCCTGACTCCGGCAGTGAGTTACACCAAGGAAGGCACTAATGGCTGCAAGGGAGGAGGCTGGGAACACTGCAGACAAGCATTGGCTAATGCACATTTGTGCCTAAGGTTGGCCTGGCACCCAGCCCTTCAAGATCTGAATAACATTCCTTCCTGTTTCTTTCTGCTAAGATATGTTCCCTTATCTTGGTTTTGGAGGGCTGCAGAATTTGGAGATTCTGGACCTGTTCAGAAGCATTCCTTTGCCCAACAGCCTCAAAGGAAAGAATAAGACATTTGGGTTTTATTCTTGGTGCAGTGGGAGGCTTTTGATTCGTCAGGAAATGAAATGATTTGATTGGTATTTTAAGAATGTCACTACTCTGCGCAGAAAGAAAAGGTTGGAGGTTTCAAAAGACAGAAGTGGGGTCACTAGTCAGGAAGCTATCGTGGTATCGTGGTTGTCTAAGAGAAAGAAAACAGCGGCCTGGACTGAGGTGTCAGTAGCGGGGAAAAGAAGTGGATGGATTCATGGTATATTGGGGTGGGGGGGTGAAGTCTCAAGACTTGGCTGAAGATTGGTGGGTGTGGGGTAAGGAGAAAAAAATGGAATCATTAATAAGTTCTAATTTTCCAACTTGGACGATTGAGAAGACGGTTTGCCATTCATTAGATGGGAAACGCAAGGAGGAACTTTCAGATTTCTTTCTCTTTAGGGCATATTAAATTTAAGGCCCTTTTAAACATCTGAACAGAAATATTAAGTAGACAAACGGATGTAAAACCAGAATTAAAAAGGGACTTCTTGGGAGGTATAACAATTATCCTCTGGAAATCATTAGCATTAAATGGTACTTAAAGAGAAGGAAATGAATGGGATTACCCGGAGAAAGAGTATATAGAGAGAAGAGAAAGGGGTCCAGGACTAACCCTGGGGCACCCTTATTGACAGTTGAGTTAAAAAGGGAAAGCCACAAAGAAAGCTGAGCAGAACTAGTCAGTGTGGCAGGAGGAAAATCAGGAGAGAAACACCTGAAGGGAACAAAGAGAAGAATGTTTGCGGAGTGAAGGAATTAAGGACCAAGTCAAAGCCATCAAGAGGTCAAGGTCAAGCCAGATGAGGACCCAGAAATGTCGCTGGGTTTGGTGCTCCTCCCAAGAGTAGTTTGTGTGGAACAGAGAGGTGGAAACCAGACTGTAGTTGACTGAGGCGTAAAGAGAAGTGTAAGACGGAGCCAACCTGGGCAGGCGACTCCGTGACCCCAGAAACCAGGGGCAGGAAAACACACCACGGATGTGTGGGGCTGGCAAGTCTGCGATGAACTGCTGGGGGAATCTGCCCTTCAGGAGTGCTCACACAGGAGACCGCCAGACGCACCCTCACGGCACATGTAAGGTTCCCCCCATAAATGCCTTCTGAGGCCAGGACTTGATCTCCAAGACGCTCAGATTCCAGCCCAATGAGTGGCTGCCCTGCCCCGACCCTGGAACACCCTGGGTCCAGGCCCAGTCCCAGAGGGTTCTGCCTCCCTCTGCTCACATGGCTCCCTGAACCCATCTCCTGTGCTTTGTGTGCTTATTTAGGGAGCCCCCCCACCCCAGCTCTGCCCTCATCTGTCTTCTGGCTCTTGCAAGATGCAAGATGCTAATTTATAAAAGCTGGAGTGCTTTGCGCCAGGGGGAAAAACCACCACCTAGCTGTTGTCTGCTTGTTGTGCACCTTCAAAACCAGTGGCTGCCAGGCCCTCAGGGGCTGTTTCTTAGCCACAGCCTGTCCCTTTGTCATCTCCCCACCAGCAAGGCTCTGGTGACCTCCACACACTCGATTTTTGCTGGGAATGCATTTTTCCATGTTCTTTGTTTTGCTTTCTACATTTTCTTCAAGATTCTTCATTCTCCCATGTTTTGCTATCTGCATTTGCCTAGTTCAGAGCGACCTCATCTCATTAATTCTTTCCTCATTATTAAATCCATCCTCCATCTATTTTGACTGAAAACCACCATAAGACCTTGTCAGCACACTGCCCTATACAGGCTCAGACAAGTTTATTTAAAAGAAGACTAAAACATTCTGGCGCCCAGGTATTGTTTCTTCAGAATTTGTCCATCGACCAGCCTTGATTTTCTTGATCCAAGGCAATGTTCTGTGTCACCTGTTTCAGACTACCAAATCCTCTTTTTTATAAAGCTTATGTTGAGGACCACTTGAGTGAGCAGAACTATGTACTAGCAGCTAAAATGATAAATGCATCCAAGGTCTTACAAGGTGCTGTGTGGATCAAAGAATAGACAGATTGGTTTGAATAAATTTTTATCACCCAGCTGAGTCCAGAGCCCCACTGAAGTTAAAAATCATGAATTTATTGAAACACTGAAAGTCATACAGTTCTATGGCTTTTTCCAGAGGATCAGGTGTAAGAGTAGAGATGGTGTATAGTTGCATCTATCCAGAATTAGGGTTTGTCAGTGAGCGGGGAAGACGACTAGGAGACAGGAGATTGAGAATATTTGTGAAAAGGTAGCCGATGAGTTAAATCATGGAACGTGGCTGGCTGCTAGTGACTCTCAACATCTGTTCTCTTCTATGGTAACTGTAGCCCCAGTTTCTTGCTGTGTGCATGTTCATGTAATAAATCTGACCATTTACTAAAGTTTGTACATGTAGAAACTCTCCAGTGACTAGGATCTGGCTAATTGGATTTAAGAAATGGTGGGTGGACCCTATGTTTATCGCAGCACTTTTTACAATAGCCAAGATATGGAAGCAACCTAAGTGTCCATCAGTAGATGAATGGATAAAGAAGATGTGGTACATATATACAATGGAATACTATTCAGCCATAAGAAAGAAACAAATCCCACCATTTGCAACAATATGGATGGAGCCGGAGGACATTATGCTCAGTGAAATAAGCCAGGCAGAGAAAGACAAGTGCCAAATGATTTCCCTCATTTGTGGAGTATAAGAACAAAGCAAAACTGAAGGAACAAAACAGCAGCAGACTCAGAGACTCCAAGAAGGGACTAGTGGTTACCAAAGGGGAGGGGTGGGGAAGGGCAGGTGGGGAGGGAGGGAGAAGGGGACTGAGGGGTGTTATGTTTAGTACACATGGTGTGGGGGGTCACAGGGAGAACAGTGTAGCACAGAGAAGGCACATAGTGGATCTCTGGCAACTTGCTGTACTGATGGACAGGGACTGCACTGGGGTGTGGGTGGGGACTTGATAATATGGGCAAATGTAGTGACCATATTGTTTTTTCATGTGAAACCTTCATAAGAGTGTATATCAATCATACCTTAATAAAAAATTTAAAAAAACAGAAGAAATGGTGGGTAGAACTCCCAGTAAGCATCCCTAATGCCCTCCTCCCTTTCCATTTTCCTGCTGGCTGGAATGCACACAGAATGACTGGAGCCCCAGGACACCCCAGCCCATGAGATGACTTTGATAATGAGAGTCACACAGGCTGAGCAACAGGAAAGGAGGAGCCGAGGTCCGTAAACCTTAATGGGAGGATTGGTGGGATAACAACCCTCAGTGTTCCAGGTTCAACATCCACATATGGTGACTTTTTTTTTTCCCAATGAAATAAAGAGCTTGAGAAAAACCCGTCTAGGTCTTGGCCTCCGTCCTGCCTGCAGGGAGCACCTACCAAAGCTGAAAGTGGCACCAGAGATCATCTATTCCGGTCAGTCTTTGTTTAAAACAGCTTTATTAAGATGTGGTTTACATACTACAGAATTTTCTACTTAAAGTGTAAACTCAGTGATTTACAGTATGTACACAGAATTGTGCAACCAGCACTCTGGCCAATTTTAGAAAATCTTTATGACCTCAAAAAGAGACCCTGTATCCTTCAGCTTTCATCCCCTTATCTCCTGAACACCACCCACCCTGCCAACCAAAGCTGCATAACCGCTTTCTGTCTAATCCACTTTCTACTTCTTTATATTTTCCTATTCTGGAATTTCATACAAATAGAGTCATAGCATATGCATTCTTCTGTGGTTGGCTCCTTTCAAGCAGCATGTGTCCAAGATGTGTCTGTGCTGTAGCATAAGTCAGTGCTACTTTTTAGGGCCGAAAACTATTCCATTGTATGGATATACCCACTTTTTTTGTCCATAAATCAGTTCGTGGACTTCTAGGTTGTTTCCATCTTTTGTTCACTATATGTAATGTTGCTATAAACATCATACACAAATTTTGTGTGAACATATATTCTCATTTCTTTTGGCATACCTAAGGGTGGGAATGCTGGGTGGTATGGTGACTCTAGGTTTTACATTTTGAGGAACTACCAGACAGCTTTCCAAAGTGGCTGAACTATTTTGCACTCCCACCAGCCGTTTGTGAAAGATCTGGTTTTTCCACATCCTTCCTAATTCTTGTTATTATCTGACTTTCCATTCTAGCCATCTTAGTAGATGTGAAATGGTATCTCATGATTTTTATTTGTATTTCCCTAATGGCTAATGATGTTGAGCATCTTTTCACGTGTTCATTGGCCATTTCTATGCCTTCTTTGGAGAAATGCCTTTCCAGAGCCTTTGCCCATTTTTTAATTTTTAACTTTTCCATTGACTAGCCATTTCCCTGTGTCTCTCCCTCTCCATGGGAACCCCCTCACCCTTAGACACAATAATATTGAAATTAGGCCCCTTATTAACCCAGCAATGGCTTCTAAGTGTTCAAGTGACAGGAAGAGCAACATATCTTTCACTTTAAATCAAAAGCTAGAAATGAATAAGCTCAGAGTGGAAGCCATGCCAAAAGCTAGGCCCCTTGCACCAGAAAGTTAGTCAAGTTGTGCAGGCAAAGGAGAAGTTCTTGAAGAAAAACAAAAGTGCTGCTCCAGTGAGCCCACAAATGATAAGAAAGCAAAACAGCGTTATTGCTGATAAGGAGAAAGTAGTCTGGATCGAAGATCCAACCAGCCACAACGTGCCCTTAAGCCAAAGCCTAATCCACAGCAAGGCCCCAACTCTCCTCAGTTCTATGAGGCTGAGGGAGGGGACAAGACTGCAGAAGGCAAGTTGGAAGCTGGCAGAGGTTGGTGCATGAGGTTTAAGGAAAGAAGGCGTTTCTGTGACAGATAAGTGCAGGGGAGGCATCAGGTGCTGATGGAGAAGCTGTAGCGAGTTACCCAGAAGACCTGGCTAAGATGATTAATGAAGGTGGCTACACTCAACAGCAGATTTCCAATGGAGATCAAAAAGGCTTCTATTGGAAAAAGATGCCATCTAGGACTTCCAGAATCAGAGAAGTCAATGCCTGGTTTCAAAACTTCAAAGGGCAGGCTCAGTCTCTTGCTAGGCACTAATGCAGCTGGTGATTTTCAAAGCCAACACTCACTGACAATTCCAAAAATCCAGGGCCCTTAAGAATTATACTCAATCTACTCTGCCTGTGCTCTATAAATGAAACAACAAAGCCTGGATAATCTTTTAAGCCCATGATTGAGACCCACTGCTCAGAAACAAAGGATTCCTTTCCAAAGATGAGTCCTCATGACAATGCCTTGTTTACCCCGAAGCTCTGTCAGAGATGTGCCTCTAGATCACGTGCTTTTCATGCCTGCTATACAGCATCCATTCTGCAGCCCAGCGAGTCATTTTGACTTTCAAGTCTTGTTACTTAGTACACACATTTCCTGAGGCTAAAGCTGCCATAGACAGGGATTCCTCTGACGGATCTGGGCAAAGCAAACCAAGAACTTCTGAAAGGACTCACCATTTAGATGCCATTAACCACATTTGTGATTCACAGGAAGACGTCAAAATAGCATCATGAATAAGAGTTTGGAAGACGTCGACTCCCACCCTCGTGGATGACTTTGAGGAGGTGGGGACTTCAGTGGAGGAAGTCACTGCAGGTGCGGTGCGATCAGCAACAGAACTAGAATTAGAAGCGGAGCCTGGAGATGGGACTGAATTGCTGCATCTCATCATCAAACTTGAACAGGTAAAAGGTTGCTTCTTACGGATGAGCAAAGCAAGTGGTTTCTTGAGATGGAACCTGCTCCTGGTGGCGATGCCGTGACGGCTGCTGAAGCGACAACAAAGGGTTTACAACATCACAGAAGCTTAGCTGACAAAGCAGAGGGAGGGTTTGAGAGGACTGACTCCAAGTTTGAAAGGAGTTTCACTGTGGGAAAAGTGCCATTCAAGAGCATCACATGCCACAGAGAACTCTTTCATGAAGCAGCAAACTTCATGGTTTAATTTTAAGAAATCACCACAGCCTCCCGGCCTTCAGCAGCCTCCGCCCTGATCAGTCGGCCACCATGGAAGCAAGACCCTCGTCCAGCAAAAAGATGATGACTTCTTGAAAGCTCAGAGGATGGTGGCATTTTTTAGCAAAACAGTATTTTTCTATTAAGGTACATCCATTGTTTTTTAGACATGATGCTATTGCACACTTAATAGACTACAGTGTAGGGTAAATGTAACTTAGATGTGCTGGGAAACCAAGAAATTCATTTGCTTCACTTTATTGTGATATTTACTTTATTGCAGATCCGCAACAAAACCCTCAATATCTGTGCAGTATGCCTGTATTTCAGCCTGAAACACTTTTCATGTTATCAGAATACTTTCTAAGCATTATTATCTTTAACAGCTGCCCAACTGACCATTTCATATTCTAACTTTTAAAATCTACCTACCTCTCATCCAGGGGCCCTTAATTCACGTAAAACTGTCTGACAAAATAGAAAAGCTGAATTCTAGGTACTTGTTGAAAAATACTATCTCAATCTTATGCATGACAACAGTTATCAAAGGAAGGACTGTTTCAAGGATACCAGCCCCTCACTCTCAGGTGAGATCCCTATAATCTCCGGACCAGCACAGGGTGAGGAGCCGGCCCACACCCTGCTCATCTATTGGCATATTCTAATGTTGGGTCATGAGGCCCTGTGAGAAAGGCTGAAAGACTCAACCCAGCAGAAGTGGCTGTCTGTCTGTCTGTCTGTCTACACAAGGATGCTGTTAGACCCTTTGACTTCACATCATGCCTCCCAGCAGAAAGGCCATCTTGTTTATACAAAGATGCTTTTAGGTTATTAGCCATGAACTCACATAATGTCTCATTTACGAGAACCTTCCATGCTCAGTGGAATAAATCTGTGTCTACTAAGAATAGTTGGTCTCCTCCAGAGTAACTGGTCTGTTTTATCCCATGAGTACTGTGAATTGTATAACTGATCAGCTTTCCCTTTATCCATAGGCCACTAGGAAGCTTGCTTGTGGCAAATTTGTGACCTTCTTTTGGCAAGTGTACAGGTCAAATATTCCTAGCTCTCTTTTATGTCCCCACCATTACTTTTTCTTGCTCCTAAAAAATTCCTGAAATTATCCTGTGTTTTATATAGCTCTGCTTGCTGTCTGAGGTCCTTTCTAGAACCAGTAAAGTCCAACAGTTCAGGGCCTGACTCTAAAGCTGGAGTCACAGTCTGCTGTTGAGCAAGTAAGTTACTTATCTCTTCCGTACCTCAGTTTTCTCCTTCATAAAAAAGGGACGAAGCCTCTGTCCCGTAGAGTTCTCATGACAAAATACACACAAAGACCTCAGATGTGTGCTTAGCTCATAATAACTAACTGCTTAAAATAAATTTTAAAATCATTTAAAAGAAATAATTGTACTCATTCTCCTATTGCTAGAGTTTACCTTGCATAGGACTTACTCCAAGTGGAATGACGAGAAAAAAGCATGCATGTTTTGAAGGCTGTGTGCTAATTTTCACATCAACCAACATGGAGGAAGCTCCAGTCTTATCATCCCTTTTTCAGGGCTAAGTATTGTTGCTTTTAAAAATCCTCTGGTCTGACAGGCAAAAAAGGAGTATTATCTTACGGTCATTTCAAGCTACATTTTGTGGATAACTCATGAGATTGAATCTTCTGGCCAAAACCACTATGTTTATTATTGATCACTTATATTTCTTCTCTCTCTGTCCATCTCTTGTTATTTTCCTATGGAGGTCATTGTGTTTTTCCTTTTATCATTTAAATAAGCTGAGAGACTCTATGGACTCCAGTCATCTGCCCAGAGAGGGGAAGACAGGGTAGTTGAGGCGTGAGGGAGGTAATGGTCACAGGGAATGGGAAAGGGTGTCCAGGAACACCTAAAAGGATGCCAGGCAGTGTGTCGGTCCTGCAGGGGGAACGGCCATCTTATTAACCGAGGATCGATGAGTAGTTCTAAGAGCAAAGCACACTACAAATAGGTCACCATCATCATCTCTCTCTTCCTGTCCTTTGAAAACATGACCAGTTCCAGAAAAACAGTTAAACACTAAGGTTTGTTCTTTCAGTTGCAACAAAAAATTCCTTGAGTTACAAAACAATTTTAAGAACATAGTCAAATACTTCTCTGTCGCCAAGACTGTTTGTAGAAGCATAGTTATTTTTGTAGCCGTGGAAACCCAGCGGATGCCATGGCTACATAACCAGCTTGCCCAGATAATTTCTAGTAAACCAAGTCAAACAAATCACTTTATCTACCCAGCTCATTTCAGATCACTTAGAAATGCTTTCTTTCATCACCAGTGGAGAGAAAGTAGGCAGCTTGGCTTTGTGCACAACCGGCTTAACGTCTTAGCTTCCCTTTTGACATCTTAGCTTTTTTCCGTTGTTTTAAAAAAGTTTTAACAAGCACAGAGTACATGCCAAAATAGTTCTCTCATCTCTCTTCTGATTTCTCCTAATAAGTCTCTGGATATACCAGCTTATTTCCATGAGGATACTGAGAGACACAAAGATGCTACACCCCGCCCATGGCCACATGCTAGACAGAGCTACACAAGCCTCGTCAACAATTTACTCCACGTGCAAATATATCCTTTGGCGGACTAAGGAAAACCCAGTTACAGGCTCTTGATATTCAATTTGGGAGAAAGATGTAGAAGTTTATTCCAGTCTAACCTTGTCCTTTTCTGCAACTTATTTTTTAAGATAATATGTGGTTGAATGTTACTCTGTGCCAGGCCCTATTCTGAGCATTTTTCATATATTAACTAATTAATCCCTTTTAACAACCCAAGGAGATTGAGGGTAACGATAATGATAATGACAATAATAATACTCCTATTTAACAGATGAGGAAACAGAGGCACAAAGGGGTTGTGTACCTTGTTCAAGGCCTTGCGACTGGCAAATGATGTTCCTTCACTGTTAATACAAGCTTCTCTCCTAAGCCTTGTACCTTTCTCTCATTGGACTTTCTACCACTTCCTCCTCCATCCCCAAGGACTATCCAAGAATTACAAGCCATGCTCTCTACCAAAATGCTGTAGTGGACACAACAGCAGATGAGTTAGCAGTCACAGGACTTGGATTCATGTCCCAGGTGGCTTCAGTAAAGTCAATCAATTCTGTTGGGCTTTGGTTCTATTATCTGTCAGAAGGGAATAATCATAGTGCCGATATAACCTCACAGGACAGTCATAAAAATCAAAGAAGATGATGGAGATGAAAGGTCTTTGTAAGGTGAAAAGTCTTGAGCGACCTCAGAGACTTTTCATGTGTGGTCTTGGGAATGGCCAGGGATGTTCCACAGAAGAGGTGATATCAGAGCTAAGTTTCAAAGGGTGTGTCTGTGTCTTAATATAATAGAATCACAGTAAATAACATTTACTGAGCAATTAGGATGTTCCAGGCTCTGTGCTAAGAGCTCTACGTGCATTATCTCTTTTAATGCTTTCAACAATTCTATGAGGTCACTCAGGTCCTACCCACCCGGCTCATATAAATGTCTCTTAGCATGATTCAATAATGGGTTGGTTGCTCTGGTGTCCACCAATCACAGCCGAAGAGAGGTGTGCCTGTGGCTGGAATGAAGTGCACAGGCTTTGAAGGTGGCAACCCACGTCCCCAGGCCAGGCCCTGGCAAGCTCAACAAAGTCGTAATGGGAACAATTTACTCTGGACACATCTCGAGAGGGTGCAGCCTGGAACATAACTGACATGTCAATTACCCAAGAGAAGAGACTTGGGAGGCTTTTCTTAAGCAATTTTGACCATTATTCTGGCTTAAGCTTTGCTTGCCCTCAGTCAGACCAAAAGTAAAGCAAGAGACCTCTAGGAAAAGACTAGAAATCTGGATTGCCCACAAAACAGACCCCTAACTTATATAACAACAAATTAGGGAATGCATTTTAAGCCTTAAATGATGCAGAATGAGTCAAGTGAAACATTATTGATAATTATCGCTCATGTTTCCAAACCTCTCTTGAAGCAGTTAGTACAACTGAAATTGAAATGGACAGTTGAAGCAACTGCTGCATAAAACAGGAGATAGCAAGGGCTTCTGGGGAAGGGGCAGGCTCTGCTGCCTATGGGGGCTTATAATGAAGCTGAACACGTAGGGCCAAGAGAGGCACCTGCTTAAGGGGTGTGGACAGGCACAGAAGCGGGGATGGAGGACATGACTCCTATCACAACACATTCAACTAACTTTGAAAAACCAGGACCAAAAATCCTATTTGTCCCCATTGAAATAAATCCGAAACCCTTCTGATTGTTTTCCTGAATGTGGCAGGTAGACTTCTGATGAGATAAACGAGTGAGGTGGGTCATCTCACATGTGGCGAAGCAAGCAAATGCTTTCAGGATCTGTCTCACTTTACCGCAAGTATTCTCCTTGATAATCACTAGCTGCACACGTCGAAGGTGGCAGGCAGAAAGGCACAGGTATCTTTCTGCGACACCAAGGGCAGAGGCTAAGAGGGACTCCTAGTGCACAACAGGGAGGCGGGCAGAAGAAACTTGAGTCACTGTACCAGGCAATCTCTGCAAATGCACCCATGGCCTGTGATGAAGGACGTTGAGTGAGGGCTCCTTTACTAACAAGCCAAACCATGTCTACAGCTGTTCACCTCACATGCATACCATGCTAGCTCTTCTGAATGGATACTGAAAAATAAACATTATAGATGCACCCAATCGCTAAAGGAACACGTCTGAGACCAAAGGGAATTCCTCCCACTGTGTCTTCACTGAGCTTACTGGTTCATCACTTGCATTCCTGTAGATCCCTCATTTTGGAGGACATAGGTCACTGCTTTCAAAACCCGTGCAAAACCCTGTGATTTTGGGAAAGAGATGGGATGTCGAATAACTTGGGCCAGGGGAACCTACAGAGTGATAGTTATTATTGTGATGATACCAACCAAGCCTACAGTGAGAAACTGAACTATTACCACCAACTGGCCTGAGGGAAAATCACACAAGGTCCGGGGTAGGGGGCGAGTGAAGTCAACCCTAATCCATTCGGCTCACAGTATCGATGGAAATGGGAGAGGGGGGTGCCTACGACAGATGAGCTCCCTTTGGAGGATCTGTCTTCACACAGATAAGGGAAGTTCTAAGACAGCTTCTTCCTGCATTGGCTGTTTCTCAAGTGCCTTCGGCTCAAAATAATCAATATATCAAAGCAGCATCTTTTGGGGGTGGCATGTCCTGGACTCGTTCACCTTTACGATTGAGACAGCAAAGGTACTGAAGAGGCCGTTTACAGAGGCCGTGTGCTCTGCAGTACAGCTGATGTGGGCAGATCAGACGCCCTTTTTAGGAAATCCCCATCCTCTCAGGGGGTGGCCGAACAGCTCATCAGAAAGCCCACCCTACCAATGCTCTCTCCTTAATGAGCACAGACTTTGTTAATCAGCAACATTATGTTAGACAAGTTCTCATTGGTAAAATTGGCCACAGTCAAGGTATGTGGACTGGCTAAAGTGTTTTAGCCACTCTTCCGGGAACAGAGCATAAAAATCTAAGATGTCCTGGAGCCCCCGCCCTAAGGGATGGTGGCCAGATCTTGACCCCTATGCCTCCTACGTCCACCTATTGATTCAGAGGATTCAGAGCCTTCTACGTCCACCTATTGATTCAGAGGATTCAGAGCCTTCTACGTCCACCTATTGATTCAGAGGATTCAGAGCCTTCTATGTCCACCTATTGATTCAGAGGATTCAGAGCCTTCTACATCCACCTACTGATTCAGAGGATTCAGAGCCTTCTATGTCCACCTATTGATTCAGAGGACTCTGTTTCCTGAGGACAGGATGAAGTCACCCACATCCTGCCTCAAGAATACTGACACCCCTACCTCAGAATGAACCTTTTATACAACATGTGCCTTCATGTACCTGAACAGAACAGATCGCATGAAGTATTGTGTGCCTGCTTGTTGATAAGCATATACTTGATAAGTCTCTGTATGGGTGGCTTAATTTTGTCTGAAACTTGCTTTCATTATAACCTGGTAGTGAGGGACAGGGACTAATTAACCCTGACCCTCCTTTAATGGCAATGCCAATATCTATGAAAAATAACTTTAAAATTATGTAAGTCAAAATTATTGGGTGTCAGTTAACACCTAAGACCAATATTCATTTCACTCTTCCTCTTTTGTGCAGAAGTCATGATATTTTTGGGGGATTGACTACTCCACAGGCTTACTCTTGATCAAGTCTTTAAGAGCAACGTATAAATAGTATTTCTCTTCCCACCTGGGCTCTAGACAAATCGAGAGATGTTGCAAAGGAATAAGGCAGATGGGAACTCAAGCATTACTCTCAGTACTGATAAAGTGTAGTCCTTGGGAGATGAAGCTCTGTGCAAAAACCGGGATGATTGTGCTAAACTCCCCATCCTCCAGTCTAGACCTTGGAACAGCCCACCCAAGGGCAAGTTTGGAACAGCAGAGCAGACCCGTACATGTGGAGGCTGCCTTCATTGGGCTGGGAAAAGAGGGAGGGAGAAAGAGATCAAAATGTCCATGTTTGGGCCCGTGGATAATTTGGCTTCAGTTAAGAAACAAGGCCCAATGGCTGTTTAGGCAACATATCCAATGCGCACAGAGGACAGTAGGGGATGAAGCAGGTGGCCATATCTTGATACATCTAGTGTTGAGAAAAAATGTGCATCAATGAATACCTTCATTGAGGTCCATCATAAGATCATGGTTTGTTCGGATCCTTGGACCACAGGCAGGCAAAAGGCAGGAAGCAGTCACTCCCCAACAGCTTCCCTGGGCCAGCTCAGGCAGTGCCCCACCAGTCACATCTGTGGGGCAGAGGTAAAGGGTGTCCAGGATGAGCCTGTGAATCCCACATGATGGCTCTCAAGGCACAGTACCCAGCCCCCCATCGCCAGGGCATCAGCAACCCTGCCACCGCCAGGGTATGGTTACGGAGCACATCTACTTTCTGCATGAGCTGGCAAAGGATCTCTCACTCTCTGCTCCTTCCAAACTTGAAGAGCCCCTTCTTTCTGCTCTTAGCTCTTCCTTTATGCAAATATAAACCCAGGATTAAGAAAGTGAAATTCAAGCCATCCCCACTGCACAGATGATGAAAAAGGAGGGCTCATCTCAATTGCCAAAGCCTAGATTTGAAACCAGGACGGGGTCTATGCAGCAAATACTGTAAACGTTTCCAAAACTTGACATTTATCCCTAGAGATCAAGTAGGAAAAAAAAACACAAAACCCACATAAACATCATACAGTGCCTGTTTTACATAAATATAAAAGGAAATTATAGTTTGAGTGAATTTCTGTCTCAAAAAAGGAACCAGATTTATAATGTTATTTTATACACTGTTAGTTCATTAGATTATAACATAAACATGGTTCAGCTGTTGTCTATTTTAGCAAAATAGACTCAAGTTTCATGGAATGAACTGAGTCATCACTGTGGCTTCTATCCAGATCAAAACAAAGTTGAAATATAACAATAGTGATGGAAGCATTTTAAGAGCAAGAACTTCAATGCATACCTAGATTTTGTATAGAAAAAAAAGAGTAACGTTTAAAAACACAGCAAATTGCTTAGTGTTTGCAGTATATCTTTAAAAGCATATAGTCAAAGAATTTAAAAGGACATAGGGAAAAAAAAAAATATATATATATATATATAGAGAGAGAGAGAGAGAGAGAGAGAGATTAGCCAGGATCCTGATATTTTGGGGATCTCCACATGAAAAGAAATACCATATGATAACAAGATTCATTCTAAATGTAAATCTAGACATTCGTTGTTTATAGAAAAAGAGAGCTAAATGGAAATGAAACAAAGTTGATACGCTTCAACAAAACAACGAAAAGTCTCATGTAAACACAGATTCTTCACATCAGCCACAATACTGCTTGTGCAAGGCAGGCCTCCTCAGAGCCCAGGGTGCAGATGCCCTAATGCAGGAACTCCACGTAAGCCAGGGGAGGCTGCTTTAAATCACCCCATCAGGAGAGGAAGCAGAGGAAAGCTCCATGCAAGGGGTTCTTTCTCCCCAAACCATCGCTGCGAACTTCAGCAAACCACCACGAGTTACAGGGCATTGTTCATAGGGGACTGGAAGGAAAGTTCATAAACACTGAGAAAATAGCATTCATCAGGCACTGTACATATTCACTTTTTCTCAAGTATACACTACACATCTTTGCAGTATTACCCCTTTTTTACAGATGACAAAAACTGGTGTTCATTAAGTGACGACACACACCAGCAGAGCCGCAATCCAAACCCCGGTTTGTCTTTTACCAAGTCCTCTGCTCTTTCTGAGCCTCATCTACCTCAGACTTAGGTATATACCAACACCCTCACTTTAACCAGATGCTGCCTCTGAGCTCAAACGGGGCCTTCTAAGGACGTGCGTAGAGAAGGAGGGATGTAGGAAAGAGCAAGTGAGGAAGAAATATCCAAATTTAAACTCCGAAATCTAGTCCGGGGTCGACAACCTGTTGCTGTAAAAGGCCAGATAGTAATATTTAGGCTTTGCAGACTATACGATCCCTGTCAAAAACTACCCAGCCTGGCCGTTGTAGTGTGAAAACACCCACAGACAATGAAGCGGAGCAGCTATGTTCCACTAAAACTATTTACGGATGCAGAGATTTGAATTTCATACAATTTTCACCTGTCACATTTTTAAAAAGTGAAAACCACTCTTAGTTCATGAGCGGTACAGAAATAGGCCCTGGGCCAGATTTGACCAACAATCTACAGGCAGGGGCCCTGGTGCTGGAGACGAGGTTCAGTCATGCTTACAAACAGCAGCGTAACACTCATACGGAAGTCACCAATCAAGCACTTTCTCTATCTATTCTGAACGTAGTGGACCTACTGCACAAACAGAAGCTTTTAACAGAGTCAACCGAACTGATGAGCGAACAGCAAGACGCAAGCCCCTTTGCAATGAATGGCTAAAAAACAATAGACCTGAGATTTTAAAAGGTTACCTGTTAATTAAGCCTAATAACCCAGAGGATTCATCTCCAAATAATATGATTTTAACCCAACAAAACTGAATCTGCTATCTGTGCTGAAAGATGCTAAAATTGTCATTACTTATGTTCTTTTTTCCTTCAAAAGTTTTTTCTTAACTTGCTGTGTTCTGTTGAGCGTTTTTACTTACATATCAAGGCTAATTTTTTTCATAGGCTTGAACTCCCTTCTTTGTAAGATGATGCTCATAAGAAAAGCATGATTCATTTTAAAGTAACTTCATCATAAACTTTATGAAAGCTATGCAATCCTGCAGAGAGATACACTTTATCTTTTGAGAGATGCACTAACAGAAATGTGATTCGATAACCCTCGGTCCAACTACCAGAACGATTACATGAAGAAAATGAACTAGAAGCTGTTATGTTTGAGGATTTAAGACAGTAGACATTTTATTGTACTGCAAAGAAGGAAGAGCCAGCTCGTCAGTACACCGGCCACGGTTCTCTCTGAGAAGCACCGTCAAAGGAGAAGCTCTGAAAATGAATGAGCAGGGGGCTGCCGGATGTCAAGAAGAGCTTCACTCTGTGGTCCCTGGTTTCTGGCAGCAACAGGAAATGTTCAGTCGGCCGCTGGGAGACTCCTCGCTGGCGCACTGACTTCTCTGCTGTCAGTACCCTGTGAGTGGGGGGTGAAAAGCCCCCTGGAACCCTTCAGGAAATGCAATAACCTTGTCACTTATCAATGCCCTCGACAGCTTATAGGACAACCTGTCAGCTAGCTGGTGGTACTACATTAATGAACCTTGCCCTTGAAAGGGAAAAAAAGAAAAATCCAATAGTTTAACACAGAGTAATCAATGAAGAAACTTGCAGGGTTTTTTTTTTAGGTGTGAAAATGTGCCCATTATTCGGGTGTTAAGATTAAGAACAGTCAGAAGCAGTCCTCCACTCTTTCAGTTTAATTAGACTTCCCATAACCAGAGAGAAGGACTTTTATTGAAAATCTCATAAAGATCACAGCAACGTAAAAGGGCTTTACTTGGCCATCATCCTCCAGGAATAAATTTTTAAAGGTTAAAGCAAAATGTTTAAGTATTTAATTTCTTTGAAGCAGATCACCATCTTACTTAAAGAGGTAGTATATGAATATTTTACTAAGTTTATATACTGAGCTCCCTAAAAGAAATTTCAGGAATAACTCAACCTATGGCAAGAAGCTACCATCTCCTCCTCCTCAGCCCATGGGAGGCATCATTCATCACTGCCCTCATCCCTGAAATTCCAATCATTCTAACACCACTGGCTTCGGGACATGACACCGTATTGCAAGGCATTTGTTCTCTCTGCCTTTTGGCAGGAACCAACTAAATAGCTCTCCTGTAAAGAAAGCTTTTTCTCTAAGGAAGACGGGGGCAGATCCTCCCACTGGCTCTTTCAGTGCCAGTTCCAAGCCCTTCTGGCTTGCCATCTTGCACTGTAGAAGCTAGAAAACTAAAAAGTCCATTCTTTAGACTCCCTTGTGGGCAGTTACATACATAACCAGTTTGCCCAGCAAGTCTGGGAGACAGGAGACAAAGAAGGTCCCGTGACAAGGCGGCTGCACAGAGGCCGGTTGGCATTTGTGGTGGAGGCTATTGATTTTCCCAGACTGCTGTGGCAGAGGTTCGACTGGCCAAGCCCCAGAGTCACGGGTGCCCAGCACTGATATGCACCCGTGGGGGTGAGCTGTCTGTGTTGACAGTCTGTGGGCTGGGTGGGTATTTCTTTAAGCTTTCAGCCTGGGCCCCGGCCCTCCTGGAATTCTATAAGTTACCCATTTACTCTGAAATAAATCCCTTGAGGCTTAAACGCTAGAGTGCACTCCTTCATTTACAACCAAGCACCCTAACAGATATGACCCTGGCAAGTCCCTCCCATGAAATGCAAGGGCATCCTGAGGATCCAGTGAACCTGGATACGGAACTGGCTCTGCTGATTGCTAGCTGAGAGGCCCTGGGCAAATACCCTAACCCCTCTGTGCTTAAGTTTCCTCTGCTATAAAAGGGGGTGGAGGAGGCTAATACCCACCACACCGGGCTGCTGTGAAGAACGAGGTAAGGTCTGCAGTGTACATGGCCTGGCGCCTGACATACCGTAAGTCCTCTGTACATGACTGTTTCCTACATATCAAAAATACTTATGTCGGAAGAGGCTACTGAACCCTTTAGAGAGAAGTGCAGGTAAGGGTTTCATGGTGTGCAGGGAAAAGCGTACAGCTAGGACACAAGGGGGAATAAAGTTCCAGGAGAGGGTCGGGTCAGGATGTGCAAATGGAGGTCGCAGTAAATGTCAGAGGGGTGACTCCTAGAAGTCAGACCAGCCTGATGTGCTGAAAAGAGCAAATTAACTCCAAGTTAGAACTCACGCTTTTGCAAGTAAAAGAATATGCAGTGTCGGGTTTACACAAACAGAAATTTTCTCAGAAAACAGGCCCAGAGGCAGGTTGTCACTGGCATACGTTCACTGCAAAGTGACCCTGTCAGGGACTCAGCTCTCTTCCCACTGTCATCTCCACCTTGCGGGGGGGCTGATTCTGCTCCGGGCACTCGCCCAGTTTCAGCCAATCAAACGCAGTCGCGGCCAAGAGCCTTTACCACTGGTGCCTGTGTCTTACTTTTCAGGAAAGGAACCCTCCTAGGTCAGCTCCACTTCCATCTCATTTAGCAGAATGGGCTCATGTATCCACTTTAAATGAATTATTAGCCAAGGGCCAAAATCATAGGAACACTGATTTTTAAAAACATCATGTAAGTCGCATGGCTTAGAAAGGGAAAGCAAAATACTCCTGCTTCAAAGAAGTA